CCGAGAAAGTGGCGCTGCTGGAGCGGAGCCGCGGTCGCATCGAGGGCCTGTTCGGTGTGAGCCTGGCCGTGCTGGGCGCGCTGGGCGCCGAGGAGCCACTGCCCGCACGCATCTGGCTGCAGCTGTGCGGGGCGCAGGAGGCGGTGTACAGCGCCAAGGTGAGTGCGGCGGCCCCTTGCGCCTGCAGCCTGCGCTGCGCTCTCGTCTCCGCGGGCTCCTCCCGCCCTGCGGGCACGCAGCGGGGTGCCGTGGGTCGGGGCGCAGCCCCCAGCGCCCCTGGACCCACGTTCTGTCTGTGGAGCCATGTGACCTTGGACTAGCGGTTTAACTCGGGGGTGGGGAGTCAGGGGGCGGAATCGGCTTCCCTAGTTGTAAAGTGGCCCTGATGGAAGCACTTGCTTCGGGGCCGTTGTCAAAATGAGACTAGGTGATCCGTTGAGGCAGAAGGACGCGGTGGTTAGCTACCCGCCACACTCCTCTCCATCCTCAGGACCTTCGGGTCCACCCTCTCGGCCTCTCTCCTGCTCTCACTCCTCTACAAGGGTTCTGAACCTTTGTGGGATGGCCGTCTCCTTTGAGAAACGGAGAAAATCAAACTGTAAAATACTCAGAATGTCCAGTGTTTAAAATTACCGCCCAAGATTAATCACCTGGACAACCAACGTGTACAGAATGTTAATGCCAGATAATTAAGAAGGGTTATTGAATGCGGCCCTTTAAAATCCCCACCACCTTCCTCTCTCTTTTTTTTTAAACAGCTGAGGAAACTGAAACTCTTTAAAGAGGTGACTCACCTATTCTTAATCAGCATTGCAGACTTACACACATTCTTCACCTTCCTGTATCTCACCTTCCCCACACAGCCAAAACAAACAACACAGCGCGCCTCTCCTCCCAGGTACCCAATTCCTTTAAAGCGTTCCAAGTTGGATGAAGGGAGGAAACAGGATTCACATCTGGGCCTGGCCGGCGTGCCTGCCATTCTGCCCTGAATGCGAGGGGGCAAATTGAGGAAGCTGATTTGGTTTGTTTACATCCTACTTAAGTTTCCATGTCATTGAAGAATCTGATTAGCTGTGGATCACAACTTTCTTAATACAAAGCCGGGATACTTGCTTTAAATTCAGATAGGATGCTGGGTCAAGTTTGCTTTGCTTTTCATTTCTGAAAGCTGTTGTCTTTAGATAGTTGCACGCCCCTCTTTCCTTTCTGCCCAGTTACCCAATTTTTTCCACTCCTCAGGTCTAAACAGTTTGACAGGACTAAGACCTATTATTTTTTGAGTCTTTTGTACCTGCATTTCACTTCTGTTCATTGCCTTTGCTGTAATTAAGACCAGACCCTCATTCTTGGCATATGCCCCTCCTTTCATTGTGTTTTTGCATTTCACCCTCCTTTCAAACTACGTTTGACTAATTTTTCCAGGAAAGGTCATTCTGCTCTGGGACCTAACCAAACCTCCTGTTGCCTATCTCATCTATCCTAAACTCCACCCCTGATGTTCAGAACTCTTGATAATCCAACGCTATCACATTCCCCTAATTTTCGGTTGTTGCAGCTGTAAATGGTGGAGGAGTGGTTAAGCTAGTCTCTCTGTTCTTGTGTGTTGTGCCTGCTCCCAGTTCTGCTTTTACTCAGTACTTACCCCAAGCATGGAAAGCATTTCCTTTGTAGCCCTCCTCCTCTTGCCAGACCTTCCTAACTCCAGTTCTCTGGCCTGCCACACAGGTTAGCATAAGCTGATTGCATACTCCAGGTACTAGGTGTCACTTATCTCTGTGATGCAGGTTACTTAAAACCCAGCATTTCAACCCCCCACTCCCACCTTCTCAGACTCATGGGTAAGAGTTGAAGGCACACTAATTAAGGGCTCTTTTTTTTTTTTTAATCTTTATTAGTTTTGGGTTTGTTTTACATTTATTTGAGGAAGAGAGACCATTAATTTGATTTTTAAACTTAAGAACAGGTAAGCCACGTAATTCAACATTTAAAGCAGCGGTTCACAACCTGTGTGTCCCAGCCCCTTTGGGGGGGTGGTGGTGTCGAATGCCCCTTTCACAGGGGTCGCCTGATTCATAACAGTAGCAAACTTAGTTATGAAGTATCAACAAAAATAACTTTATGGTTGAGAATGATGAGGGCAATGAATGTACAAATGCCCTTTACACAATTGATGTGTGTATGGATTGTGATAAGAGTTGTCTGAGCCCCTAATAAAATGATTAAAAATAATAATAACTTTATGGTTGGGCATCACCACAACATGATGAACTGTATTAATGGGTCGTAGCATTAGGAAGGTTGAGAACCACGGATTTAAACTAAGTTAAGATGTGTAGGCAGCAGCTTGAGGAAGGGAAGATTGAGAGTAGGGAAAATTTAAATTTATGTATAGCAGATCAACCATTCTGGGTCACACCCTGTGGTTTACTATGTTTCCCTACCTTTAAAATGATAATCGAACCATTTCTATTTGCAAATGCTAGCAGAGAGAATGGTGAAACTTAGTTAAGCCTCCTTTAGAAAAGTAGAACTACATTGGGTATTCTAAATGGTAATCTTTGGCAGATCAACCAATCCCAGGTGTGTGTGCCCCCCCCCCCAAAAACTGGATGGGTTCAGTGACAAAGCAGAGTTGGTTTCAACCGTGATCTTTAAGTTAGTAAGTGAATGCAAACTGTGTTCTTCCCCACCCTTAATAATGCCTTGTTTTTGTGGTTAGTTGCCAGAGTCTTGTTAAATTTTTAAAGGCACACTGTAATCCAAAGGAACATTTGTTGGAGGAAGTGACACTTGAAGCGGTAGGCCCAGAAGACACATGAAATAACACACTAACAAGTGACATGATTCTCCTGTGAGTAAAGCTTGAGGGACCCCACTCCCAGGGCAGTGCATTGGGTCCTGTTAGTAGGAAGTCAGTGAAGATTTTGAAAGGGGAATCATGTAAAGGAGCCCTGGAGGCACAGTGGTTATGCTTTGGACTGCTAACAGCACAGTCAAAAGTTCAGTCACCATCTACTCTGCAGAAGGAAGACTGGACTTTCTGCTCTATTGTCTCAGAAACTCATGAGGGCAATTCTACCCTGTCTCATAGGGTCACTGTTTGGCATTGATTTGATGGCAGTGGTTTGGTTTTTGTTTGTATGTAAAGGGCTATTTGGAGGTGAGAGGGTCTTACAGTGGAAGGGATATAGAATTACATTGTTCCAGGTTAGTGTGGGTGAGGTATATTGGCCCCAAGATTTGGCAACTGAATAGATACAGGAAATCTAGGGAGAGATTTTAAGAACTGTTGGCAGGAAGCATGGTAATTATGTTCAACTTGTTTGTTAATTTGATCACCAGGAATAGATGATAATGCGCCTGTGATTTAAGGAAACCTTCTGTGCCAGGAAGTGTACTAACTGTTGACCCTTGCTCTCAAGGAATCCATAGTCAAGCAGAAGAGACAACCGTGAAAGCATAGTACAGAATGTTTTTTTTTTTAGTGTAGAATGTTTTATAGTGCTATAGATGGTCCTCTAGTCACACATGTCCAATGACTCTATGACTCGCTCAGCAGTCAGTTCTGATGTTATGTTGAATCCTTATTTTAGTTTTTATTATTACTCTTTTATTATCTGTATATCTATAAATCCAATTTTTGTGAGATTGATAACACCAGTAAATTATTTGTTGCAACATTAAACGTAGTACATATTACTGATAGGATTTTAAAAAACAAGCAACAAAAAAACCCCCCAGATAGTTATGTTGTTCATTGCAAATTCAGTTTGTTGTAAGTTGTGAAATTCTTATCTGTGGCTATAATTTCTTTACAATGTTTTATTATTAAACCTGGCATTTAAAAAATAATATATATTAACCCATTGGTGTCAAAGTGATTCTGACCCTGTAGAACAGAGTAGAACTGCCCCATGGGGTTTCCAAAGTTGTAAAGACTTTATAGATTTACACTTTCTCCTCTGGAGTGCTTGCTGGGCTAAAACCACTAACCTTTTGTTAAGTATCACCAGAACTTTTAATTATAAGTAAGAAAACATGCATTGCACATCTCTATCTCTTAGATAATGGATTTAGCTGCAGTGATAGAAACTTAATTTGTCTTTATTTTTTTAAAGAGTTCTAAAGATAAGCAGGAGTCCTGGTGTTGATGTGGTTATTCATTGGGTTGCTTACTGCTTGGTGAGTGGTTCAAAACCATCAGCCGATATTCAGGAGAAAGACACACTTTCTGCTCCCATAAAGAATTAGTCTCAGAAACTCACAGGGGCAGTTCTAGCCTGTCTGTAGGGTTACTATGAGTTCAGCATCAACTAGATGGCAATGAGTTTGAGTTTTGAAAGATAAGCAGCAGTCCAAGACTAAGTATTGGTTGGGAGCTGTCAGAATGAAGGCGTTGTCGTTTTCTTGGCCTTTCTCTCATGGTTACAGTATGGTGCTGTAGTCCCAGTCATAAGGTCCCTGTTTCAAGTAGGAAGACAGAGGAAATAACGCTTTTCCAGAAAACCCCAGCATATACTGGCTTACCACATGTTGACTGGAACCATGTCATATGGCCACTACTAGGAGCAAAGGGAGCTAGGAACTGTTAAATTCTAATGAGGCACATGGCTGCCCTGAACAAAATTGTGATTCTGTTATTGAAGAAGCAGGAAATAGATTTTGGTAGATAACATGCAAATCTGCCACATCACATATAAAGTAAGTAAAGTCAAATATTAACTCATTTATGTGATCAATGGGTTGGGAAAACTGGTTTAAGGAACATTGGGGAAATGCGTATTTGAGAAGTACTGAACGATGAACCTTGGGATAAGGTTATTGTGCTGCAGGGTAATGAAAGCAGAACCTTCTTTTATACCAGAAAGAAGCTTTGAACCATATAGGACATCAACCAAAAAGTACTGCATCCCTCAGCTAACCATCTGTAAAGGCCAAATAATAAATATTTTAGGCTTTGAAGGCCATAGAGTGTCTCTTTCTCATAGTCTTCTTTTTCATAACGTTTTAAAAATTGTACCCATGATTCTTAGCGCAAAGGCTGTACAGAAATAGTTCAGGAGTTGGTTTGCACTGATATGGTAGCCACTACCATATGTGACTAAGTTAAGATTCCATTAAATGTTCAGTCCTTCAATTGCCTTTAAATTGCAGA